TCAGTTGCCGGGAGCAGCGGGTCCGGCCCTTGCCCCTATCTGGCAGCTCAGGACCCACTCACGTGGGGAGCTTGGTGAAGGGCATGCAGGATCCTAGGTCTGAATTCCCCCGTAGCCATTACCCCAATTTAGCTGGTCCCATCACCATCCTGAGTTTTGTCATCTATGAAATGCCAGGGAAGGAAAGCCATTCGTGGGTTCAAGAGCCTTATTCAAGTGCGTAACTGGGTCTAGATCATCTCTGGAGGGGGATTCAGCGCTAACACCTGCCCCGGAGCTCGAGCCAGGTCCAACACCGATGTGAGCCGCAGCTCCCGAGACTAGGGCAGCTGTAGCTTCAGCTCTCACGCCAGCTCTGGGATCAGATAGAGAGAGGACGCCTCCAAGGGCTGGAGGGACTGGCCCCCCCTCACCTGCTCCTGTTGCACCAGCTTCTGGGGTCCTGGTATGCCGTGGCCTCAGGTGAGAAGGGCTTTGCATTGGAGAAGGCCTCGAAGAACATCGAGGGCGTCATGGTGACACTTACTCCAGAAAACAACCTGAAATTGTTGTCCTCAGGCACAGGTGAGTGAGCTGTGTGCCCTGTGTCTGGGTGGGACTCATGCCGGGGTGGGAGAGGCCTCCTGGGCAAACCCCTCTCGAGCTACTGCTTGAACTGGGTCATGCCTTGTGCTGAAGAACCACGGGTTCTTGGGGGACTCCAGGTACCCTCGCTCCCATTCCTGCATCTGCCTGCAGGAGATGTGGGGCCCGGGTGTACCTGAGCCAGGCCTGGCCTTGGGACAAGCAAGGGCAGGGGAGGTCTGGGGTAGGATGGTAGCTCCACGGTATGGGTGAGCTTGGTCCCACGGGCCATGGTGTTGGCCCCAGGGCCATGGGGCTGGGTCGTCGCACTGAAGCTGGTGGAATCAGACATCTAAATACAGAAGCTGGGGCCTCTGGAGGGCCTTGGGCCCTATGCAAAGCCACGGATGCCATAGGAGCCTCGAGGATGCCACAGGGCTCAGACCCCATTTTTGGCATCTGCTCATCAGAGTGATTGGTCAGCAGCCTCTCTTGGTGCCAGTGTCAAGGTGCATCTCAGTCCAGGGACCTGGGCCTGACCCTGATTTGGAAAGGTGGATTGTGCTGAGGCCCCGCCTGCAGACACACATTCAGATCAGGGCTTGGAGGAGAGGCAAGTGGGCCTCTCACGTTTTGTTGTGTAATGAAATTTCATTGTTGGCCTTTGGACAGGAAAGATACTTGCATGGCTCAAAATCAGGGTTCCGATGGGTGTACTGTGGGGGTCCTTCCCCACCTGCCTCAGCCAGCCCATCTCCTCCCTGCGGGTAGCCCATGTTAGGGATGTGTGGGCGGGCACACACCGGCACCCGTGTGTCATTTGCCAACGCACGCTGGGGGTTGTTCCGATCAGTCCACAGAGGCTCTGCCATCTTTTAAAACATTTCAAAGTTAGTTCTCTTTTGTCTTTATGACATTTTTCAAAGTTGTAGGAAGATAAACACAGCGCAGAGG